ATTCGCTGGCTGGGGAATTCTGGGAGTTGAAGTCCAGACATCTTCAAGTTGCCAAGGTTGAAAAACACTGGATTAAGCAATTAAAAACAATATTGGAAGGAATCAAGAGTGCAATTTTATTTTTGAGATGCCGGATTGAGCTTCTCCTGTCTGCCTGGACCGTCTAGAAGGCCTCAGGGAGCCCTGCTTTCTGTTCACGCCTCTTTTTCTCCCCCCCCCACTTCCTATGCTAAACGTGGGCCTGTCCCTTTAAGAAGTGGGCGTGGCCAGCGCGCAACAAGCGTCGTGACGTCCCCGCTCTTCCCTCAAGGAAGGCCCGCCTTCCCGCTTCCCCCCAACCCGGAACTGCGTCCGGGTGTGGGCAACGAAGGCCCCCCGCGGCCCGCTGAGGGCGGAAGCGAGCGACGGACGTGGCCAAGGCTGCCCGCGGCGACCGCCTGAAGGACCCCCGACGGCTCGGAAGCGCGGCTCCGCTACTAAGCCCTATTTGTTCTTAAGGACCGCGCGGCGGAGGTGCGGAGAAAGGGTGCGCGGCCGTCCTGGCAAGGGGGCCCCTTAAAACCCGACTGGAGGGGGGGTTAAAAAATCAGGCAGCGCTTGGGACGCCCGCTCGAACCAACTGCCCCCCCCCCACCCTTCCCCACCGCAGCTTTGGATGACTGCACTTGTGAACTTTCGCCTTTCTTTCCTTAAGGGGCGAAAGAGGCTGCAGGGAGCTCAGGCAGCCCTAGAGGTGAGTGGGGAGAGGGGGGCCTTTTGTGGGGAAGGGGCTTGGTGCATAGAAACAACCCCCCCCCCCCCAAATAAACCTGCCCAGCCTGGGGAAAAGGAAGGAAGAGCTGGCAGCCTGCAGGCTGGCCTACCTTGCAGGGGGGGTGGTTGTGGCAGATCAAAAGGGGAGGGGGGTGAAGCTCATGCTCTCCTACCAGGGTTTTTTTTAAATTGGGGTGGGGGGGGGCAACAGGCATGTTAGGGCAGCAGCTGGTCCATCCACAGCCCCCCCCCTTCCCAGGGCCAAAGAAAAGCCCCCAAACTGGAGGAATAGAGTAGAAAAATAGAATAATAATAGAATAATATGATAGAATAATAGTAGAATATTATTATGAGAATAATAGTAGAATATTATTATGATAGAATAATATTATAATAGAGTAATATTATAATAGAATAATATTATAATAGAATAATATAGAATAGAATAATAGTAGAATAATATGCTGGAATAATAATATGGAATATTATAATAGACTAATATAGAATAGAATAGACTAAAATAATATGCTGGAATAATAATATGGAATATTATAATAGA